TGATGCCGATGAATGACAAAAAGTACTGCTGATTCTCTTTCTCATATGTACTGTTTCCTAATGCTCCCGCTATTGAGGATGGTTAAGTGAACTTTAAAGTTCTGTTAGTGGCTACATACATCTGATGACAGCTGATTTTTTTTGTCAGGTACTGTTGTTGCCTTCTTTTGGGCTTGATTCTCTGTTGCCTTGTCTTTGTTTTTTGGAGTACTGTATGTAATTCTGTGGGTTCTGTAAGACCTTATGCAGCCTAGTGCCAGAAATATGAGGAAAAACAAAATGGAAGCACCTGAGACACCCCAAAACTTTGTGTTTAACAAAAGAACCAGTACTCAAATGACCTGAAAACAAATGATGCACCCTGATTTAAAAAATCCAAAATGAGTGAAACCTCTCTGCATCTCTCTACTGCTCAGTTGAATTGACAGGATCTTTGCCAGCACCAATCGTCCACCATAGATGTAACACTGTGGTACAGTCAGATATACATTTTGACATATCCGTATTAGAAGTGGTTTCCATAGTTTATCAGACTGCAACTCCCTGAATCTCTGAGCTAGAACTGGCCACAGACCATAACAGTAGGAGTATTCTTGGAGTTAGACCACACACAAAAGACTTCTTAAAGCTTAGTTTATACTTGATCCCTACCATGCAAATAATGAACAGATAGCAAATTACTCAGCCCAATTGACCATGAATCAGAAAAACTGTGGACTGAAACCAGAGATATTATTAGGGAATAATGCAGAAAGACATTTCTGTAGTCAAAAGAAAATAAAAACCTAGATGGATGGTGGAAGAAACACAATTATAAAGCACAGATGAGACGCAAAAGTAGATCACAGAAATAGGATCAGAAACCTGAATGCATTTTTCAGTGACATGTAAAGAAAGAGAGAACTAACGCAACAACCAGTGCAAGGAAACAGAGGAGAACAATAAATGGGAAAAACATAGAACATATCATACAGAAAGCCAAACTAGATTCAGATGAAGGAGGAGTGAAACTTGGTGGAAAAAAGTTAATAATTTAGGGTATGCAGATGACATCATCTTAGTGGCAGAAAGCAGAAGTCATCTAAAACAACTTTTAGTGAAAGTAAAAGAATAGCAAAATCGTGACTACAGAAGAGCTACACAACTGTATTGCTGACAAAGAAACTGAAATAGTGAAATATTCTGTATATCTTGGTTCAGTCATTAAATTCTAATAGAGACTACTGCAGCCAAGAAATCAGAAGAAAACCGAGGCTCAGAAAAGCAGCAATGAAGGGACTAGAAAAGATAATCAAGTGTAAGGATGTGTCCCTGGATACCGAGACCAAGATCATCCACACTCTTGTATTTTCGATCAGCAGATACAGTGTGAAAGCTGGACAATAAAAAAAGCTGACAGGGAAAAAAATTGATTCATTGCAGATACAGTGTGAAAGCTGGACAATAAAAGAAGCTGACAGGGAAAAAATTGATTCATTTGAAATAGGATGCTGGAGGAGAAAGACAAAGAAGTGGGTCCTACAGCAAACCAAGCCTGATCTATCTCTTCAGGCAAAAAATGATGAGATTGGGCACATCATGAGAAGATAGGATTCTCTGAAGAAGACAATAATGCTGAGAAAGGTTGGTGTGAAAGCTGGACAATAAAAGAAGCTGACAGGGAAAAAATTGATTCATTTGAAATAGGATGCTGGAGGAGAAAGACAAAGAAGTGGGTCCTACAGCAAACCAAGCCTGATCTATCTCTTCAGGCAAAAAATGATGAGATTGGGCACATCATGAGAAGATAGGATTCTCTGAAGAAGACAATAATGCTGAGAAAGGTTGAAGGTAGCAAGAAAAGAGGAAAACCAAATATGAGATGGATCGACTCCCCAGAGAAAGCCACAGACTTGAGTTTACAAGAGCTGAGCAGGGTTGTTGACAACAAGACGTTCTGGAGATTGCACAATCATAGGGTTACCATACGTCAAAGGCGACTCGATGGCATGTCACAACAACAACCATGCAAATGCGTATTTTTGTTGTTGTGTACAAAAGTATGCAACCATTTGCAAATGTGAAGCAAAACAAATATCAAGATCATGAGCAAGGAAACTTTTTTTTATAATAACGTAGAAACACAAACACACAATTTTTTCTGGCTTCTATAACTTCAACTAGTAGAAATCCAACACGTTTGGCATCTCTATCAATACATCCCCATTCCAATGGAACAGAATTCTTATCAGAGTATGATTTGTAACCCTACTAAAAGCCACAAACTCATTTTTTCTTACAACATCCATTAGGTTGGGGTTTATTATAGAGCAGGAACCTGGAGCAATTCTGGTCTCTTATTTTAGATTCCAAGTACAGTACTGCCTCTCCCAATTTCCAAACAGCAGTCCTAATGCTCCGAGAATAATGACTATAGCATGCCTTGATTTATGGGCCCTGCCCCCAGCGAAAGAACCCATCAAATCTTAAGGGCAGACTGCAAGCAACACCCCTGCAGTTTCAGCCATTAAATCTTCTGCGGGGAACTTTGGGGGCATGACATGGGGAGGGCATTCTTCCCAGTATTTGACACACCTACAGAATAAGCTCTCATCAATCGAAGTGACCCAACTGAATGGAGTAAGTGTCCTCGACTGAGCCTTCCATGCAGAGTGCTCAGAGGTGTGAGTTTACAAGAGCTGGCATCAGGCCCAGCTGTCTAAACTTTAATAAATGCTGTGCTATTTGCTCCAATTCCTACATTCATGCTGCAATCCCCAAGCCAGTGTTTCAGGCAAGTAAAGGATAGTGAATGCCAACTGCCGTTCAGGAAGTTATAAGGCTAGCCTGCTCTATAAACTTGCTGAACTTGAAAGCAATTATTCAAAGCGATATTTCCCTATAACTGAACAACTCAGCTACTGTTTGAAGGCATAAGGGGCTCACAGTCCAGTGATTGTGTCTATGAGTTAATTAATACTCATCAAAATGTGGTGTTTAAAATGAATTGTTTTCTTCCCAGAGTGGCTTCATGTAAAATTTTAATAGACTAGTAAAATTACACTGCTTCTAATGATACTTTAAAACCACTGGTGTTTTTTTCAGATTGCTTAGCTACATTTTAACGGGCATATAAAACCAGATTACCAAACCTTGCTGTTCATTGATCATCATACTACCAGAAAATGGCCATTTTAAAAGACTAGTTTATGAAGAGGGTCTGAAGTTCAGAATGCATAAGCTAATATAGAATATGGGCATAGAGATCAAAGCCAATACATTCATTTCTTTTCTCCACTTGAACATCACATCAGTAGATACCGCCTTGCGTACTAAATCCATCAAAGAGAGAGGAAAAAAACTATTAGCAATCATTCTTCAAACCATTATTTGTTTTAATATAATTGAAAAGTTTCAATCATATTACTTTCATTCATTCACTTAACTTTATGTATGTGTACAGTATTTTAAAACAGCTGCTTCCGTCTCAAAATACAGCATACAAGTCAGCCGAAATTTTCGATAACAAAGCTGGGGTTGTTTTTTTTTTTTTAAAGATTATTATTAATAGCTTTAAAAGAATGGCATTCAAGACGTACAGTTTTGGTTACAAAGAAAAAAGCAGTCAATCCATCCTATTGTTTTATCCTCCTCCACTTTTAAAGATGGACATCAATATACAGAGACGAGCATCCATATACTACCATTCAGACAAAGCTCGCCCTAAGCAGCGGCTCTGATATCAGAACCTCTGAGCCTGACAGCAATTTATTTTCCATCTGTGTTTCCTCCTTAACAAAAGGACTGGCAAAGTCCGTCTGCTATCAGGTTTCTGTCCCCCACGCCACCCCCACTTCAACATGAAATACTACTGTTCAAGCAAGTAGGAGATCTTTTCTTAGGAACTTACTTTTCCTCCAAAGAAGAAGGCTGAAAGGCAAAGCTGTGAGTGAAGTGGGCAGAACGGAATGGAAAAAAAGAAGAGGGAAAATTTACCACTTTTGATCTAATACCCGGGTATATCTCAAATCATGTTTTGGTGCTCAGCCTGAGACCCCTCTTTCCTTTCTTTCCAACATACCTGGAAGGGAAACACCCACCACCAAAGGATCCTTTGCAAGGAAACCTAGTCTAGCAAAAGGCAAAATAAATGAAATTCACCGACTTTCTGGCATCCTAACTTAACGGTGCTTTCCTTGACTCGCGCTTCCCGGGGAGGTCCCTCCCACAGACTCAACAGGGTCTTCCTTTTCCAAGAGAGCCCGTTCCGGATCGGGTGTGCGCGCCTTTACTCCGACCGCGATTAGACCCTGAGGTATTCACTCCATTGATCTCGATGGGAGTGGCTTTCAACGCGAGCGTTTTAAGATCGAAGCCGTCGGAAGTGGAAAGACAGCGGGAAGCGAGAAAAGGAATAAAAGCCGTCGAGGGGTGGGTGTGTTATTTTTTTTTTTTTTAATCGGATCAGGAATTTAATTTAAACTGCAGATTCAAACCTCGAGCGAGGCTTTAACCCTCTCCACTCCGAATCCTGACAACACCACGGGTGGTGCAGAAATCGCATCGGGGGTGTGTGTAGACTCCGACGCCCTTCTTCCTCTGCCCCCCTTTTTTATTTATCCCACGGCGGCTTAGAAATGCTTAGCCAGCCTAAGCTCCTTACGCTCGATTTCCCCTCCCGGCTCTCCTAAGCCGCCCTGTAACTTTCTTCCGCTGCCAGCGCCTGCTTTCAAGTCGGAGGGGGAAGCCTGTGTGCTGCCCCGTCCAAGCAGCAACAAGCAGCACTTTCTTCTGCCTCCGTCGCTGGACGGGAACTTGCCACGGGGCCAAAACAAATAAATGCACGCGGAGCAGGGAGCGAAAGGATCGGGGCCAAAGGGGAGCTCGTGCGTGTGTGTGTGTGTGTGTGTATGGGAGCGGGAGGCGGGCAGCAGGAATACGCGAAAGAAACCAAATTACTCAACTGCGGAGTAGATGGGAAAAGCGCGTGCGGAGGGGAAGAAGCCCGGGTCTTCCTTTACCTCACGCTGCAGAAATGCACGTCTTTAATACTCCATGCTCTTGGCAGCCCAAAGGGAAGCGGCGGCGGCGGCGGCGGCGGCAATAGTAATACCGAGGGAGAGCTAGAGAGCGTGGAAGACGGACCAACTCCAGCAGCATCCACCAGCTTCTCACACCAGGCTTTGGCTCCGTAGACGCCGAGCGCAGACCCGGCCTCCAGCTGACGTCAAAGTCCCTGTCACATGGCTCGCTGCAAACCCAAAGAGCATTGGTCGTCGTAGCAACCGCAGTCCCGGCGCTCTGAAAACCCTTTCTTTCTATCGGTCGTTTGTCATCTTGGCGTGTGCACGTTTTTTCGAAACCATCCGGAGTTGATCGGCACTCGTTCAGGCACTGTTCGGAAAGGGTGTCTTGAAAGAATTTTTTTTTAAAAAAGGAGAAATATATATATATTTAAGTCTTACCGCTTTAGAAAACGTGCAAACCAGATTTTTTTAAAAAAACATGCACAAACATTTATTTCAAAATATAAGCTCTCCTTTCAGAAGAAGCTGTGCAAGTTTAAAACTCTAAAAGGAGTCATCATCAGCAGTTATCACTGTCACTATTACTTAAAATTAATGTTGACCACTTTCAAAGGTAGCATGGGAGATAAAAACTTACAAACAGCAACCATGCAATGAAATATAATTCAATCCACAAGTCCCAATTAAATTACGTTAATTAATAAGTTCCAGTTAACTTCCAGTTATTATACTATTTGTAATATTATAAGTCATCTTGGTTTCTCTTGAGGGAAAAGGTGAGATATACAGTATATAATAGTTGTTGTGGGTTTTTCGGGCTCTTTGGCTGTCCTCTGAAGATGCCGGCCACAGAGACTGGCAAAACGTTAGGAAGAACAACCTTCAGAACACGGCCAAAGAGCCCGAAAAACCCACAACAACCATTAGATCCCAGCCGTGAAAGCCTTCGCGGGTACATATAAAACTTTAAATAAATAATAGATTCTCATACAGTACTGTACAGTACTTCATAGACATGGATAGGCTTGGTTTCTGTGATTTTGTCTTTAAAAGGTTCTCAAGGCAATGGCCTGGCAGCAGTCTTACAGGAAGAAATCTGAATAATTGTCCCTGTGAAGAAGCATTTTCTTTGGTTTGCTATTAACTTTCTACCAATCAATTTTATTCAGTCTGCCCCTGAGTACCAGTATTATGAGAGCAGAAGAGAGGATATATTATCTATCTACTACACAGTGAGGAAAATGTGAATGGATCAGGTGTGAATTCAGATCTAGGAAGTCAGGTTTCCCTAAGAGAGCCCGTTTCTGGTTGCCCACTGAATCAGCTCAAGCAATCACATTACTCAAGCTAATGCAAATACATTTGATTTGAAAAAAAGTAGAAGCCCAAGCAGATGAGACAAAAATACAGATGGCGGTGGTGTTGGTGGGAATGAACCACCGCCATTCATGTCTATGAAGCCTATATCACTTTTTTCCTCAGGAGGAACCAAGGCAACTTATAATATTGGAAATGAACTCCAGGCTGATTTGCATTAACTTGTATGTTGTGTAGTCAACGAAAAATAACGTGAACCTGATCATCCCAGTCAAGAGCATTTCCCACATTATTTGTCATTGAAGTTGCCAGCAGAAGAGTCAAAACAGGTGTGGAGAAGAGGTGAGAGGTAAATTTATACCAGATCCAGATCTTCTCCAGATTAGGGAAATCGTTGTAAAACTACCACAAAGTTAGTAATTTGTAACATCCCTAGTCTGGGAAGGGTTGGGTCAGCTTGCCATTAATTGTCTTGGCCAATTAGGAGTATATTCTAAACCTGATGATGGCCATCTTCTTTGAACCATCTTTCAATCTTGGCTAATTCAATTATGCAGGCACATATTTTTACTTTTCTGTTTACTTGCGTGCTGTTTTCAAATAAACATTGTCTGATTGTATATTTAATTGTGATGTGCCTCTTGCTTTAAGAAAAAGCCTTTATAAATGAATAAATGAAGTGCCTCAAATTAAAAGATTTTTTTAAATAACCAAGTGAATCAGTAGAATATCCCAAAGCATGACTAGAATTTGCGTAACACAGTTTCCTTGTTGATGATAAAGCAGATTTGAGTCTGATCAATGTTTTGATGGGAGATCAAGACTGCCTTGGTTTTCAAAGGGTCTGAATTAATGTATCCGCGAAGGCTACTGAATTAAGTTTTATTTAAAATCTCCACATTCTCGCAGAATCTGTTCTTTGAAACTGTGTGTTCTTCAGAGGGCTGCCCATAACTTGGCATTTTGTATACAGTACCTCATATTTGTACCTACCCAAAAGTATGTCACATAATTTAAGAAATATGCCATGTGTATTCCCACTCCTGTACTGCAGTGAGTCCTGGACCCTTTGTGCATGGCAGGAGAGGAAGCTGAACACCTTCCATATCCGTTGCCTCCGACGGATTTTTGGTATCACCTGCAGGACAAAGTTCCAAATAGAGTAGTCCTAGAACGAGCTGGAATTTTCAGCATCCATACATTACTGAAACAGCGACATCTACATTGGCTTGGGCACGTCGTGAGAATGGCTGATGGTCGGATTCCAAAGGATCTCCTGTATAGAGAATTAGTGTAGGGAAATCGCCCCAGAGGGAGACCACAGCTGCGATACAAAGATATCTGCAAGCGGGATCTGAAGGCCTTAGGAATAGACCTCAACAGATGGGAAACTCTGACATCTGAGCATTCAGCCTGGAGGCAGGCGTTGCATCACGGCCTCTCCCAATTTGAAGAGACCTTTGTCCAGCAGGCCGAGGCAAAGAGGAAGTCACAAAAGCAGCAAAAGCAGGGAGCTGGACAGGGGACAGACTGGATTTGTCTTCAGTGTGGAAGAGATTGCCACTGTTGAATTGGCCTCCTCAGCTACACTAAACGCTGTTCCAACATACAGAGCATGTTACCATGGTCTTTCGAGACTGAAGGATGCCTACTCATTCCCACAGTAAAAGCAGTTTAGGTTTGATTTGTTGATTTGTTTAAATATGCAACAGACAAGACTGATGTTTGGAATAGATTAGATTTGAATGGATGCAAAACAATTTACTCCGTCAGCAGTTCTAATTTAAAGAAAGGTGTGTGCTATTCACAAATTTTGTTATAACTTTTGTTTGAATTGATACTGATACCAGGAATGCAACATGTCCAGTTAGGAGCAGGCCTCTGAAAAATGCTTTTGCTGGTAAGGTACTTGGCTTTCTAAATACTGTAGATTACAACAAACTAGTTTTACATCATAGCACTTTTCCATTAAAAAAGGCTACAGTGATCACATAGTATCCCATATTAATGCAAACACAGGATACTGGCATGACTTCTTCGTAGTACCTTTCCAGAATAAATACTAGGGTGATTTAAGTGTAATGGAGTACTGACACTATGAACCCATGGTTTGGATAAAAAGAGGAGAGAATCAGTCAGTAATTTTTTTGTTATACAGTATTGTTATGTGCTGTCAAGTGATTTCCAACATATGATTTCCAAAAGGTCCTATCATTAACAGTGTTGCTCAGGTCTTGCAAATGAAAGTCATCTTTATTCATCTCATCATAGGTCTTCTGCTTTTCCTTCCACTTTCAATTTTCCCAGCATTATTCTCTTTTCCAGAGAAGCGTGCTTTCTCGTCATGTGTCCAAAGTTTAACAGCTTCATCTCAGAGTTCAGTGCAAGTTCAGACTTGATCCAAAATCCATTCATTTGTATTTCTAATAGCCCATGGTATCCACAAAGCTTTCCTCCAACACCACTTTTCAAATTAATCTATTTGTCCATGTCTAGTTTCTTTATAATTCCACTTTTGCATCTTTACTATGGAATACCATAGTATGGATAATCTTGGTCTCCAATATGGAAAAATCTCTGAGTAAAGTTAGCACTTTCTCCTGCTCTCTAGGTCTTTTTTAAGGCATTGCTTCAGTTTTTTCCACTTTTCAGACGTGCTAGTACTTCCTCACCAATTTCTCTCTGTGTCCCTAATAGACTTCATAGAGAATTTGCTGGGGCTATTGTGCAAGTATGTATTATTGTCTGGAGATGATGTTGAAGTTTTATTTGCAACCTCACATATTATCTGTAGTTTGACTAGGAGGTGTACTTTTCTGTGCTGGAATGATTGTCTATCTATCCAGCACTAACTAATCATTCCCTCCAGCCTTTGAATTCAAAGAGAACCCTGCTTCTCTGCTGAGGGATCTTTTGCCCTTTCTAGTCTATTGATGGCAGTTGGTTATTTGCTATTGATTACTTTGGTTGGTTGCTAAGTATGTGTGTAGTAAAGAAAGGTCTACGCAAGTCTAATTTCAGTTAACTATAAGTAAAAGATTTTTTATTATGCTCCTACAAATGTCTCAGAGTCAGTTACTGAGACTTTAAATACCAGTTAATGAGAAAGGGCTAGACTTTGACAAATGTGTAGCTATTCTCATCTGTGAATATCCGTGCTGCTACTGTGTAGCAAAGGAATTTTTCCAGAATTTCAGAACTCTGCAACAGATTGAACCAATCTCAATTTCTTCACTGTCAGCATTACATTTATGTAATTATTCTGTAGTCCTTATTTTTGTCTTTTCAGTGCTGAACTGTAATCCTGCTCTTGGACTATCTTCTTTCATCTTCAGCAATAGTCATATTAAATTATTGCTACTTTCTGCCAATCATATGGTATCATCTACATATCTTAATTGATGTTTCTTCTACCAGTTTTTACTCTTCCTTCAACTGTACCTAATCCAGGTTTCCACTCCTGCCTTATCTTACCAGAGGCAGAGGGTTAGGGCCTCATCTCTGTTTCTTCCTGTTGAACCCCCAGATTTACATCCTCACTCTCACTGTGACTGAGAGCAACCGATAAAAAGAGAATGAAAGCATGGGAAGTGGGCTGGATCTCATTTTCTGACAGCCAAAAGCTGAGATACCATTTTTTGTGTGTCTGAGGTCGATTGCAAAATGGTGCAGGTACGTGACATTGTACGAGATTCTGTAATGAGTGTAACGGTGAATATTTAAAGACCAGTAACAGCAGCTGATTTACATCATGCAAGATAATGAAAAAGAGAAGGCTGCTTCTGAGCTGTGGTGGTTTGTCAGTTAGAGAAAGTGGGGCACTGCCTTGCCTCAAGCTAGCTTTAACCAGCCCACTCTTTGTCTCAAAACTTGAGTTTCAGGGCTAACACTTGAGAC